ATAAAATATATATCAAGTAGCCATAAAGCCCTAAAAGGCTCATAAGATAGCGTGCAGAATTCGCCATTAGTTTCGTTTAGTTTAGATATTTAGCGAAAATTATCAAGCCTGCTGAATTATTATCCAAATTATTAGATGCCCAAAAAATTGCACCGGTCATCAATGAGGATAGCGACGACGATTAATAATATATACATGAACAAATATAAATATATTATGTTGATCGAAATAAAGAAATTCCAAAAAGCATTTATAACCTTTAAATATTTCAAAATAGTTCCAATATGAAAAAAAGCATATGGCTAAACTTTTCTGAAAAAAATTCGGTTATGGGATGAAATTGTCGTACGATATTTTTTCTGCCTTAAATTCATCAGTCGTCCTCCGATACTCGTAAAAAATACTTATTACTGATGTATTCTAGTGTCTTAAAATTGCAGAACTATTCTAACCACACTTCAATGCCGTCTGAGAGTTTTGCGACTCTCTCAAGACCATTTTATGGCATTTTGAGTATTTCAAGAATGCCCCAAGGATATTTTGTAAATGTTTTAGAGTTTTAAAACTGCTTTAATGCTGAATAGTAATGTTAATCGAATTTCAGGGCTGTCTCAGAATTGTATTAGTGTGTTACGATTGTCTTAACCCTTTGTGTCACGGTGGGACGCTCAGCGTCCCACCTTTTATCCGTTGGTTTTTTCACCTTTAAAAATCAGTTTCTCATGTTTTTTACGTCGTGATTAATTTTCTACATAGCTGAGGCATTTATTTGTCGAATACAAGACATCATACATATTAACATACTATAGTTCATTAATTATAAACAATAATATACCAAAAAATGGCCATTTTTTGAAAAAGAAATCGTTTGTGAAAAATAATCACATACAATTCGCTTGAAAAACGCTACTCAGGGGTTTTTGGGGTCGCTGAATACGAATCTGATATCAGTTTTCAAAAAATTTAAAATGGCGGATCCAATATGGCGGACATGAAAATTGAAAATCGACTGAATTAGCTTGAAACGAGTAACTCAGGAGTTTTCGGTGTCGCCGATTGCGAATCTGATGTCAGTTCCTAAAAATTTAAAATGGCGGATCCAATATGGCGGATATGAAAATTGAAAATCTACTGAATTCGCTTGAAAAAAGTTACTCGGGGGTTCGCAGGGTTGCTGAATACGAAAATGAAAATAGATTTTGGGATTCAAAACG